GAGTCCTTTATGACAATGGCATTACACACATACCCAGAGCCATCATGTACCTAAGTGATGTGGGCATGTCATTCCTCTGATCTCCTGATTCAGTTATTTCAGGTAAAAGAAATTAAATATTCCTACTCAATCAACATTTGAAGACTTTGGAAAAGAAGGAAAAATAATTAGCAAAAAAATGGAAGAGTAAGATATAAAAATAAAAATTGTTTGTGGTTATACATTTGTTTATGCTCTCTTTAGTCAGTCATTCACTCCCTTAATTATTACTGTCAACTTTTTTTATTTGTTTTAATTCATTACACATGACAGTATACTATGTTAACTTAAAAATTATTTTGTGCTTTATAAATACATGTACTTTTTTTTAAACAAAAGTTTATTCTCCCCCCTCCCCAGTACTGGGGATTAAACTCAGGGGTGCTCTACCACTGAGCTACATCCCCAGCTCTTTTTTATTTTTTATTTTTAGACAGGGTCTAAGTTGCCCAGGTTTCCCTCAAATTTGTGCCTCCTGCCTCAGCCTCCTGAGTCCCTGGGATTACAGGCATGCACCACCACTTCCAGCACAAAAGTTTACTCTTAAATGTACACAAAACTCCAAGAAAACAACTCATTTTAGCCATAAGTGGCAAAAGATATTATAGCAAAGAATCCATATATCTAGGAATGGATTCAAGTGTCATCATTATCTTGCTAGATTTATTAAGTCCACCTGTGGCCAGATCCCCCACCCCCACCCCAACTTTCAATGGGGTGGGGGTGGGGGAAATTCTCCTTAAATTTCTTCATTTCCTTTTTTTTTAAATTTTTTATTGTTGGTTGTTCAAAACATTACATAGTTCTTGGTATATCATATTTCACACTTTGATTCAAGTGGGTTATGAACTCCCATTTTTACCCCATATACAGATTGTAGAATCACATCAGTTACACATCCATTGATTTACATATTGCCATACTAGTGTCTGTTGTGTTCTGCTGCCTTTCCTATCCTCTACTATCCCCCCTCCCCTCCCCTCCCCTCTTCTCTCTCTACCCCCTCTACTGTCATTCATTTCTCCCCCTTGTATTATTTTTCCCTTTCCCCTCACTTCCTCTTGTATGTACTTTTGTATAACCCTGAGGGTCTCCTTCCATTTCCATGCAATTTCCCTTCTCTCTCCCTTTCCCTCCCACCTCTCATCCCTGTTTAATGTTAATCTTCTTCTCCTGCTCTTCGTCCCTACTCTGTTCTTAGTTACTCTCCTTATATCAAAGAAGACATTTGGCATTTGTTTTTTAGAGATTGGCTAGCTTCACTTAGCATAATCTGCTCTAATGCCATCCATTTCCCTGCAAATTCTATGATTTTGTCATTTTTTAATGCAGAGTAATACTCCATTGTGTATAAATGCCACATTTTTTTTATCCATTCGTCTATTGAAGGGCATCTAGGTTGGTTCCACAGTCTTGCTATTGTGAATTGTGCTGCTATGAACATCGATGTAGCAGTGTCCCTGTAGCATGCTCTTTTTAGGTCTTTAGGGAATAGACCGAGAAGGGGAATAGCTGGGTCAAATGGTGGCTCCATTCCCAGCTTTCCAAGAAATCTCCATACTGCTTTCCAAATTGGCTGCACCAATTTGCAGTCCCACCAGCAATGTACAAGTGTACCCTTTTCCCCACATCCTCGCCAGCACTTGTTGTTGTTTGACTTCATAATGGCTGCCAATCTTACTGGAGTGAGATGGTATCTTAGGGTGGTTTTGATTTGCATTTCTCTGACAGCTAGAGATGGTGAGCATTTTTTCATGTACTTGTTGATTGACTGTATGTCCTCCTCTGAGAAGTGTCTGTTCGGGTCCTTGGCCCATTTGTTGATTGGGTTGTTTGTTCTCTTATTGTCTAATTTTTTGAGTTCTTTGTATACTCTGGATATTAGGGTTCTATCTGAAGTGTGAGGAGTAAAGATTTGTTCCCAGGGTGTAGGCTCCCTATTTACCTCTCTTATTGTTTCTTTTGCTGAGAAAAAACTTTTTAGTTTGAGTAGGTCCCATTCGTTGATTCTAGTTATTAACTTTTGTGCTATGGGTGTCCTATTGAGGAATTTGGAGCCCGACCCAACAGAATGTAGATCGTAGCCAACTTTTTCTTCTATCAGATGGCGTGTCTCTGATTTGATATCATGCTAAGCAGGAAGTGTGAATCAGGTGGTATAGCGATACCAGACTTCAAACTATACTTCAGAGCAATAGTAACAAAAACAGCATGGTACTGGTACCAAAACAGGCGGGTGGACCAATGGTACAGAATAGAGGACACAGAAACCAATCCACAAAACTACAACTATCTTATATTTGATAAAGGGGCTAAAAGCATGCAATGGAGGAAGGATAACATCTTCAACAAATGGTGCTGGGAAAACTGGAAATCCATTTCCTCTTTTTATTTCTGCTTGAAAGCCTCTTCATCCATCTCCTTGGTCTGCTGCTTGGGCTGTTTAAGGGACTCTTCTTGGCACCTTTGTGACTAAACATGGCATCTCTGCCCCTTCCCCAAACACTCCTCCTAAACCAGAAACAGAAAAAGCTTACACTTTTGATAGGCTCTTGTAGGTCCTGAAGAGTGCTATCTAGCAGGAAGGACATGTATAAAACACTAAGTGTGCAGGATTAAAATAAGATGATCTAAACTGGCCTAAAGAAGTCATGGTTTGACAGAAAAGGTAACATTTCCTCTGGGATAGAAGGATAAGTTTAACTAGTGGAAAAGAAGTGTGGAATTCCAGACAGAATTTCTAAACAGTAAAATTCACTGGAGCCTGTGTTCTATGTTACTGAAAGAGTAAATGTGTTTGCAAGTAGAAGCAGGAGACTATGGCAGGACAGAAAGCTGGAAAGGCCAGAGAGGTTATATGGTGAGAAACAATGGAATCCATGCCAAGGAATTTGGCCTTTATCCTGCAAGCATTCAAAGATATGAAGGATTTCTAAGGAGGAGAGAAACAAAGCTATTAGCTAAGCCTTTTTACAGAGACCATTCCATAAAACCACATCCTTTATGTGTATATAAGGACTTCTGGGACTAGCATGGTCACCTAGATGAGATAATTATAGATAAAGGAAACATTATAAAGTTTGAAAAAGTTAAACCCTAAATGAAAATTGAGGCTTATACGTTTATTATTAAAAGATATAAAAGTATATGTGCTCTACTAAAAAAAAATTGAAGTTGAATTTACACAGTCCCATATAAAAATCTATGATCCTGAAATTGACAACTATTATACGTGCAATTATGCAATAAATATGTATGGAATTTTTTTCTCAAAAATAAAAAGCTCAATTGGAGTTGATATAAGGATACTTATTATTATGGTAATAAATACATGTGTGGGATCTTTGCTCTAATGTATAAACTAAATATAAACTAGTGAGCAAAGTTTGGCTGGGTAAAGAGCCCTGTGCTGGGATCTAACTAGTGAGTGACATGGCCAGGTGCTTGAAATGTGAGGGGATTAGCCAACTGAAGATGAATGAAGATTATCATGAGTGATAATGTTAATGAAACACATAAAACAGAGAGCTCCAGATAAAAGAGTCAGGGGAGGCCACCCTGGAGTACCTAACATGGCTTCTTCTTCATGTCCTGAAATGACAAGCTTCACCCAACTAGTTTCCCTCTAAGCTAGTTCCCCCAAGGAGCTCTTAACTTTCCTCAGTAAAGTATTAGACACAGTGGTCCTTGTCAATTTGCAAATGAGGAAGCTAGGTCAGAGACAGTTAAAGGCGTTACCCAAGAAAAACACTCTTGTTTCCTGGTATCTCTGCTAAAATTAAAACACTTTCTCTTCCTAAATCCAAATTCAATTTTCTGTGTTAAAATTTTTTGCTTATAAATTATTCTACAAATTCATGCCATTCCTTTATTTTAAATTCCTATGCAATTCAGATGGGTCAGTAACCATACATTTATTAAGTGCCTGCTTCAGACTTGCTACTCTGCTAGGGATATGTCATCTGCTCCCATTTAACCATTACCAGAACCCCAGAAAATCAAGAAAATAAGTTCAGCAACAAACTGTAACCTGCCAAGATCACAGAGCTACCAGGGTAGAATCCTGGTCTGACTCCTAATGCCAAGATCAGACCCTTGCACTCCTTCTAATCCCTATCTTTAGGCTCCTGGAAATGTAGAATCATTAGAATTCCCTGTCATTTCACATAGGATGTACTTTTCCATTTAGACTTGTGGGGTAATACCAAATGCCATAAGCCAACCATAAAAGCACTCATAAATCCTGTCTTAGAACTGTAAACTCAAGTCACAGATTAGAGTCAGTGACCCCAAAACCCACCTCAAATCCTGCCATATGCCTATAACTTCTTTTACAGGCACAGGCCTTGTGTTCAGTCTGATAGGGAACAGGGACAGCCAAAAACTCTTAATGAAAGGCCCACAAAATCATCTTTGAGATGATCCTGAAATGACAAGCTATCATTTTAGATTGCATTAATATTCTATATTATCTAATAGGTACAGACATTAGAACTTGTATTTAGGGACTGCCTTGGGGCAAAAGATGACAGTCACCAAAGACTAAGGACCAGGGTTGGCATTCAATAATTTGAATTTAGAAGTCAAAGGAGTTTAGATTGAGGAACCCTCTAAGAGCTAGGGGAATTTAAGTGACTGCTGTGGCCAATTACAGAGAGACTGAATGAAAAGGATGGTGCACTTGGACTTCAGACTGTGAGAGAATAAGTTTCCGTTGTTTCAAAGACAGAAAAATAAGGATGCCAGGAATGGTATTAAATTATTGGTAGTGGGAGGAGAAATTTTAAATTTGGGGACTTGAGGCCATCCTCTGGAATGTGTAAACCAAAGACTGGACAGTCCTAGGTATCAGGGAGTCTGAAGTTCAGAGTGAGCTCCAATGCCCGGACTCTACCGGACCGAGGTCCCAGCGGTTGGGACTCGGGAACTCGAAGCTTCCCCGCCCCCTCCCACCCCCTTACCTTCTGTTGGAAATAAAAAACTGAGTAATTCTTGGCTACAGAGGACCGGGATGCGGGGTTGGTTGGCAAGTGCAGGCTGCTGAGGGTCCTTAGTACCCGCCGGGAGTCTATACAAGTCCCGGGTGCCAAGAAAACCAGGAGCAAGAGCAGGAGGGCTGGGCAACCCATGGCTCAAGTTGGCGGCAGCAGCGCGGGTGTGAAGGCGAAAGGGACACCGGCAGCCGCGCTTAGCCTAAGCCCTGCCCCAGCCCGCAGCTCCGCCCGCTGCAGACCGGCTCCTCCCCCGGGAAACCCAAAGCCTGCCAGCTTCTCAGCCTCGCCACCACTTGTCCCCGAGGGCGCCGCCTCCACCCCACTTCCCTCTCGTGCCATCCTCTCCTTGGAGCCCACCTTCACTGAGGTCACACCACCAGTCGGCCCTTATCAGGCCAGGGTCTGTACCCCATCCCAATCTGCAGTGCCCCCCAAGCCCACCTCTTCTCCAGGTCACGCTGTAACCTCTGCCTTTATTGTCACCGCCAAACCCTGCCCCGGCCACCTTAGTTCCACTGCAACACTCCCAGTCCTCCTCCGCAAATCCCACTAATGTTTAAAGAGAGCTACCATAACAATTTACGGACGGCTGACTGCATGCCAGTATGTCACTAGACATGATGGCACGCATCTAACTCAACCACCACAGCAATTCCTTGTCTAGTGTACGACTCTTATTCCCACTCATAGATGAAGAAACTGGGTCACTCAGGTAGCAGGAAGTAAAGCACTGCTTCGGACCGCTCAGGCCTCCAAAGACTGCGCTCCTAGCATCTCACCTTCATTATGCCCGCCTAACGGGACCCTCTGTTCTAGGGTCTCCCCAGACCTCCGTATTGTCCGCAACCCCATGCCTTAGCGAGCCAGGTTTCGGTCCCTCCTTGCTGGTTACGCCCCCTTTCTTCTCTAAGCTCCAGGAAACCCACTCCAGGCTGCGCCTCCCGCCGCTGTCGTCTCCCTTCCTCCGCCGGAGGTCCTGCTACGCTTCCGAACAGCGCCCCCTCCTGTCTTCCCGGCAGCGCCAACCCCATCCACTCCGCTTCAATTCCCTCTTCCTCACCAGGCCAGACCCCAATCCGAGGGCGCTCCCACCCACTCCCTCTCCCTTTCCGGCGTCCCTACGACAAGCTAGTTCAGTCTCCCCGGAAGCTAATTTTGCAGGCTGTACTACTACTTCACCAGTCGGGGTAGAGCATCCTTCAACCCTTATCTCTACCCCAGTTTGACAAAAAATGGTCGCTTCCAAATGCCCCCAGGATTTCGCGGTAAATCGTGACCCTCGGCGCAGCCTTTTCTGATTGGCTCTGAGGAACCACTGATCAAACGTCACTTCCGGCGGAAGAGGACGCGGGAGATTCGAGTAGAAGGTGTTTGGCGAGTTGCTGGGTCTATCTGGACTGCGGCCTTTCGGCGTTGCCCTGGCTGTCTCCCAGTCTTGAATTAGGTGAGGAGCTGGAGAAAGAGGTTCTTGGGGAAGCACTCCAAGGTCTCCCGAGACTCTTAAAGTCATTGTCGATGAGACCAGGAGGCTTGCATTTTATGTTGTTTGTTTTTCAGGAGTCCTGTCTGTAAAGGGAAGCTTTGACAGTACAAAAGTAAAAGGGTCAGTGACTTTAGACCGTGCCGCTGGGATCACTATGTGAACGTTTGTTGCGAACACTGGGCTGTCGAACTAGACACAGGGTGAGCTCAAACTGGAGATAACCGAGACAAAGTCTCGACTTTTTAAAAGTTTTCTAGATTTCTTCCCTATCTCTCACTTCCAGCCAATAATAACAGCTTCATGAATATCTCAAAGCTCTGTTCTTTTCTCCACATTCACTGGTATTTGGGTCGACCCCTTATGCTATGTAGTTATAACAATAACCTCCCAAGTATTTCTTTTGCGTTCAGTCTTGGTACCTTTTAATCCAGTCTCCACATTGCCAGACCTTAATACCCGCCAGAGGGCTACAGAGATCCAGGGTGCCAGGAAAGCCAGGAGCAGGAGAGCTGCAAGTTTGACCATTTAAAACCTTTCTGCCGCTCCTATTTGCCTGCAGTTTTAAATCCAAACTCCTTAAGTATCAAACTCTTTGATGTTTTTGTGTTCCTTAACATAGATTACAAGCCCCTTCTTGTCTTATCGTTGCCACCCTCTCCAGCCCCAGTGATTTTCCAACTCTGGCCCTAGGCATCAGCCATACAAAATGCTTTTATTTATTTATTTTCACTGTTGTTGGATATCAAGCCCAGGGCTTCATCCAGCCTAGGCAAGTGCTATCATTGAGCTACTCCCTAATCCTAGAGTGTCATATGTTCATCAGAGGCATAGCCCTCCCTCTTATTTCCAAACCTAAACCCATCCCCAACTGGCATGTTCTTACTCATTCCTTATTTCTCAGTTTGCAAGGACTTTTTTTTTTTTTTTTTAAGGCAGGCAGGCTTTCCTAACTCTGCAAAACTGGATCACAGAGTGCCCAGTCATTATTTTCTCATGCTGAAGATAGTTTTATCTATCTCCCTCTGTGCCAAGAACTGCTAGATATTGGGTTACAATGGTGAACAGGATGGATTCCTTCCCAATGAAATATACCTTTTATCCATGGATTTAAGAAAGGAAACAACAGGGGAACTATGGGTTTTTAAATGGTCTGGGAAGTCCTTTCTAAGGAGTTGATATTTCAGTGGAGACCTTAAAGATGAGAATTATCTAGCCTTGAAAGAGAGGAAGATTAAAAATGAAATGAATACGATACACAACAGCCCTGCAGAAAAAAAAAAAAACCTTGATATTTTTGTGTTCAGGAACCTAAGAAAAGATCTGTGTTGCTGGAACTTATTCAGGAAGGACTCTTGAATAAGGTGAGTCTGGAAGATTGGGTAGAAAGCAGATAATGCAGTTAGATGACTAATGCAGCAGCATAAGCAAGAGATGATGGTGGTTTGGATTAAGGTGGTGGCAGAATACATGGTGGAAGTGAATGATGATTTCTAATATGGAAATAGATTCTAAGACTACTGATGGTTTGATTTGGCACATGAGGAAAAGAATGAAAGATTACTCCTAGCTATCTGGCCTTACTGGCTTGTTAGAAAGTACTACCATTTACTGAGATTGAGAAAATTTCATGGAAAAAGGTTTGAGAAGAAAATTAAAAATTCAGTTGTTACCTATTAAACTTTGAGATGTCTGTGAGATATCCAAACACAGTTGGCTCTCAGGTAAGCAGTTGCAGTATGGAAATCTGAAACTTGCATATATTGTTTTTACCTTTGTATCATTTCATTGATAGTTATCCATTGAGCAAATAGATTTTAAATTCCTTGAACAAAAGAGCTTGTGTTTTCTGTCTCCAACTCTGTCCCCTCTCCATCCCTGTTATAAATGTCTGTTATAAATGTTATAAATGGTGGAATGAATGGACACACTATGTTGTACTTCTTAAGATTTTCCTGGTTAGTGTTTTAAAAAATATTTTACCTTTCATTGGAGGTTTTGTTTCTTTACTTTTTGTGTATTTTATTGTTGATCTCCTGTCTTCCCTTTCTAGAATCTTCATGTTATTGTCCATAAAATATTTCTTAGAGAATTGTTATGACTTCTTTTAAAAATTAAAACATAGTATATGCCCTTGAAAAAGATCATTAGATAGTGTTAAGAAAAATATTCTAAGTAGCCACCCTTCCCATAATGAGGCATCTTGACTTGTAAAAGGGGAAATCTGAGAGGAAGAAGGTGACAAAGGTTTTCTTGAAAAGCATGAACAATTTCTGATTTATTATGTTTTTTGGTTTGTTTTGTTTTTTAGTACTAGGGATCAAACCTAGGGCATCAGGCACTCTAGGCAAATGATCTACACTAAGCCACACCCCTTTCCAGCTATTTGGGGAGAAATGAAGGGAAGAAAAATTAGTCTTTGAGTCATTAGATCTGGGAACTAGTTTTCTAAAGGAATAACTTTATCTTTGGGGCAGCCTTAAAACAAATAGTTAAGTGTGATGCTTGAGCACACAGTACAGTGAACTAGAAAGACTGCTGCATTAATTGTTAGAGATGTGAGTTCCAGACCTGATTCCACCTGCATCCTGATCTTTAATTAGCTACTTAAATTATCTGATTAGATCAAATAATGAGATAAAAGCACTGTGCACACTGTAAAGCTGTTTGTCTCTTGTCCTGGACTATAACTAACTAGTAACTAGGAAAGCTGTCTGTTTGTCCCTCACTAATGCTATCAACAGTTGGCATTTACCAGCTGCACAACAAATAACTGATAAGTAAATATATTGAGCTTACTAAATTGGAAAATGGTTTGCTGACTGTGATGGAGCTGAGAGAAATGTACTACTATATCATTCTTCCCAATAAAATTGAGAAAAAAGATAAATTATAGGATATACCACATATGAAATTGTTCCCAAGTCTATCATAATGTTTTCTTAACTTTAATACTTTCATTCCTGTCACTTCGTTCAGTTATCTATCAAATATGCGTTCACCATACTGCAAGTCAGACAGTAAAGACAGAGAGAAATTAAGTGACAAATAACATGAAGGAAATAAGAAAATAACTAACAGTTAACTCCTTAAACAGTATTGTATTACTGTCCACTATACAATGAATGGGAAGTCTTTGCCATTGCTGTGGTTTACCAAATGAAACACAAATAGTAAAAATAATGAATTGACCTTTTTCACTTTAGTCAAATTTTGCCAATAATTTATGGGTTTTTATGGACATACTTATTTCATCCACTAGAGGACAATAAATGCTTAAATAAAGACAATTTAACCAACTTTTCTTTAAAAAAATGTAACAGTTGGTGCTTATATAATGAATTTAGAAGTTAATCCCAAAGCGGGCTGGGGATGTGGCTCAAGCGGTATCGCGCTCGCCTGGCATGCGTGCGGCCCGGGTTCGATCCTCAGCACCACATACAAACAAAGATGTTGTGTCCGCCAATAACTAAAAGAAATAAATATTTTAAAAAATTCTCTCTCTCTCTCTCTCTCTCTCCTCTCCTCTCCTCTCCTCTCCTCTCCTCTCTCTTAAAAAAAAAGAAGTTAATCCCAAAATTTCATGTTTATTTAAGTTTTGCATGTATTGGCAAATCGTCTGCCTAATTATATAGTAAACTTTTTAGGACAGAGATTATTATTTCTAATTGTTTAAATCCACAGCCCTTAACACCGTGTCTTAATAAGTTTAATCCAT